CTATTAAAATTTGTAAACTGGTAATTTTGTATTACACCAAATTAAGAGTAACATTTACTCATTATTTAGCTGCCAGGAACTTAATTTTTCTTTTTGTGGCCTGCCTGACAAACAAAAGGCACACACAAATTTGCATGAACAAGGTTTTCAAAAGCAGCTGGCAATGTGGACAACTGTGGTTCCCCACCCTTAGACTCCTGCAGTGGACTTCCTTCCCTGAAATGAAGCCTTCCTTAAGACACCTCCAATCAAGCAAATAAAAGACATGCCCCATATCATTAGTCAATTTTAAAGCAAACTACCTTAACCATCAAAAACAAAGAACGTGGTCTCAATAATTGCCAGTGTACCCCAATTGTCCAGGGCACCTGAAGGACTTTTTCTGAAGGGCGAAAACTCTTGCTGGGAAGTCTCCTGAATGACTTTGTTACAGAGAAAATAAAAGAAAGTCAGTCTGTTTGAAGTGGTAGCAATCAGTACTTGGGCTGAGGCAGCATTTTGTTCCTTGCCTGAAAGAAATGCAAAGGAACAGAAAAGACCACAAAAATGGCATCTGTTTCCTTGGGGGCAGAGCAGAGTTGGGGGAGGAAGTTAATCTCCATCCCTCAGTACAGCACTGTGCTCACAATTCCCTAACTGGGCTTGACCATGGGCCCTGTGCTGTGCCCTGTCCTGGGGGTCCATCAGTGGGAGAGTGGTCCCATGCTAACCTGTTGCATCCACCACTGGCTGCTGGTAGGAGCCCCAGGCACACTGGCTGGCACCTTGCTGCCAGCGCTGATGTGCCCAGCAATTCAGAGGCCAAAGAGCTGCAGGGGGTTGCCCACAATTCTCAGCACAGCTTCCTCTCTATTCCCATTGCTATGGAAATTGTTTCTGGAGGCAGCCCTAATTTTCCTTTCATCAATCAATTAGGGGCAGGCTTTGCACTGGGTTGTTTGTTTCCCCAGCACTGCTCCATTTGATATTACTTTCTTCATGATAAATTAACCACAGCTGGACCTGTCTGAAATTGCTAAGAATTCTCTTGTATAAAGTGAAGAAAAAAAGGAAAAAAAAAGACATACTAAGCATGAGAAGCAGGAATAAATTGATATTTCAAAGAGGAAGGAGTGGGAATAGCAGGGACCTGACAGCTGCCCAGGGAAAAGGATGTCCTCTGATTGCCTGTCTGGTCAGGTCCCACCATCTCCCAGAGTCAGGCAGGCTAACAGTGTGGTTCTAAATCCATAGTTCCTCTGTGTATTAGTGGTGACACTCCTTGTTATGCTGAGCTGTGTAAACAGCCAGGAGCTTTCTGGAAAAGTCCAGTTGTGAGGCTGTCACTTATTCCTTTACCACAGACTCAGCCAAGCCAAGGCTCCCATGTTTGACACAGGGACATGTCTTCTCATGGAATAAGAAAAGCAGGGGAAAAAAAAGGTCTTTTTTTGCTACTATAAAAGTCTGGCACCAGGAGCTTTGAAATCATGTGCTCTTTTAATTCAAACAAACTTACTTTACATTTTCCCTCTGCCTTTCCCCACCTTCTTGCTGCAACAGTCTCCCATAACATATTAACAGATTAAAAATAACCTTCTGCCACCCTTCATCTACTTCGGCCAATTTAAAATTAAGCAAACTACCCCAGGCACTGTAGAGTAGAGGAAGCACTGTGTGCACATGTGCATGCATATGGGCTCTGACCTAAAGGGAACAACTTTATTAGCAAGAGGTAAGAGGTTATTTTTATTTCCAAGATGTCCGATTTTGCACCTTCCTTTTTCAGATGTTGTTTTTCTCTTCTGCTAAGACAATCGGCCAAAGGCCTAGAAAAGTAGTAATTACAGTTATTATGTGACAGGAACAATGATTTCTGAACAACAGGACACAAAAATAGTCGGTCAATGCATTCATCTTTGCTGAAGCGATCAGGTCCTAATGATTAGAGCTGAGTGAACAGCAGAGAGAAAAATGCATGGAAAGGAAGACTTGTGTTTTGAATTGGTCCTGGGTGCAGATATTTCTCAAAATGTTGTGTGAAAATGGCTATTAACTGCCATCTTGCACCCCCTCACCTCGGTATGAATTATTTTGAGGGAACCTTTGACACCGAGGCATCAGTGAGGGAATGAGCACAGCATCATATGCAGAAGCAGCTACAGTCCTAAAGCAAGTGCAACCTGTGCAGTGGCTGCACGTGCTTGCAAGGAAAGATGTAAGGAATATAAGGAATACAGGAGCTTGGAAATACATCTTAGTATCATGCATGTTCTTGCAAAATTAAAATGACTGCAATGTCTGTAGGAGCAGGATGAGGTTGGACAGGAGCAGAAAACCTGTGGAGTGTGGGGGGAAGAGATGCTGTGTCCTCTGCTCACCTAGCAGCTGCATGGCTCAGAATGCCTGAGGTCCAGCCATGCAGAGGGCAGAGGCAGAAACTGGACAAGAATGACCCCAGCACCTAATTGATACATGACACTCACCTGTAGAAAAGTATAGCTGGGCCACATAGCTGGGCAATGGCCATCCCAGCTGATGGTCACCACTGGTTTTCTCCTATGATAGACCTCAGTATTCTCTTCAACATGTTGTCTCTTCAACATCTTCGTAAATGACCTGGACACAGAGACATACGAGGTAAGTTTGCTGATGAAACTAAAGCAGGAGGAACTGTCGACTACCTCAGAGGCAGAGAGACCCTGCAGAGACCTTGATAAGTTAGAGGGCTGGGTAATCCCCAACTGCATGACGTTTAACAAACACAAGTGCCATATTTTGCACCTGGGATGGGGCAACCCTGGATGTATGTACAGACTGGGGAATGAGATGCTGGAAAGCAGTGCTGTGGAAGGAGACTTGAGGGTCCTGGTCGATGGCAAATTGAATGAGTCAACAGTGCCCTGGCAGCCAGGAGGGCCAACCATGTCCTGGGGGCATTGCCAGCCAGTAGAGGGAGGGGATTGTCCCGCTCTGCTCTGCACTGGTGTGGCCTCACCCTGAATATTGTGTGCAGTTTTGAGTGCCACAATATAAGAAAAACATTCAGCTCTTAGAGAGTGTCCAAAGGAGGGCAACAAAGATGGTGAAAGGCCTTGAGGGGAAGCCATATGAGGAGCAGCTGAGGTCACTTGGTCTGTTCAGCCTGAAGTAGACTGAGGGGAGACCTCACTGCAGTCTACAACTTCGTTGTGAGGGGAAAAGGAGAGGCAGGCACTACTTTGTGGTGACCAGTGACAGGACCCAAGGGAATGGCCTGAAGTTGTGTCAGGGAAGGTCTAGGTTGAATATTAGGAAAATGTTTTTCACCCAGAAGGGGGTTGGGCACTGGAACCAGGAGAATGAACACAGCACCAAGCTTGACAGAGTTTAAAAACCATTTGGACAACACTCTCAACCATATGGGTATGATTCTTGGGGTGGTTCTGTGCAAGGCCAGGAACTGGACTTTGATGATCCTGATAGGTCCTTACCAACTCAGGATATTTTATGATTCTATGATTCACACAAAATGTTTTGTGTTGCAACTTAAGATACAAATTTCTTTAGCAAGGATTTGGAGCAGATTTTTCTCAAGCATTTTTGCTTCAAAGATCGTTTGTGCTGGTTATTAAGCAGTGTTAACCAGGTTCAATCAATCTGGCAACTGGGCTGCAGGGCAAACTATAGAAATTTCTGGGTAACCTGAGCTGACAAAAAATCTGTTTCCCCATTGTTCTTCCTTGAGCACATACAAAAATCAATAGCTCAGAAAGCCCTTCAATGCCTCTGTCCCCACATGAACTCAATTTTTTTCCCAGCTGCTGCTCATTTACCTACCAAGGCAACCAGATGCTTCCTGAGGTTTGCTGCCAATATTGTGTCATCAAAGGTGAACTGATGTCAAGACACAGCAGAGTACATGCTGAGAGACTGAGCTTGTTCAAAAACCATGGTTTGCTTCCCCCAATCTTCACACACATCTGTACTTATTCACCCATGCACATATTGCTGAAAGAGCACCTGGTATAGGGAGAACCATCTCCACAAACTGATGCATCCTATCTGCTTCCCTCAGTCCATAACTTCAGCCTTACAATCTCTGTGAGGTGCATCAAATTTCAGGGCAGACCAAAAGATGCTATTAATTTGGACCTGTTCAAGAACTGAATTTCATCACAAAGGCATCTCTGCCCAACCTGTCAACTAAGGAGGGTTTGGAGGATTGCTTTCTCCTCTGACTTGGTAAAGAGCTGTTCATTGCATGTGGAAAAATATAACATCTTGTTAGACAAGTGTTGGACACTCAGCTCTCTTGTACTGCTGCATGGCTACATCTCTGGCATAAATCAAGGACTCTAAGTTGACCTAATGTCTGTCTTACTAGCTCCACAAAGCTTTTAATGATATATTTAGGATTGTTATTTTTTTTCCCTTCATCTGAATTTGAAAACATTTCCTGGCAATGGAGTATCAAATAAAAACTTTGAGATTGATGGACTTAGTTGTTTTTGTGTGGGGAAGTAAGGATGTTTCAGCTCTGACAATTGTACTTCAGATCCCCTAGTTAGTTAGCCTGTAATTTTCTTTCAGATTTAAATACTCTTCATGATAGTATTAAAATTATAATTTTCAAATTTAGTGCACATTAGGACTTGTAAATTCTCCACTAGTACACTAACTGGGAGAAAATGCTCATTATTATCTGTTATTCTCTTACTAACAATAATTCTTAAGGCCTGTTCCACAAATACTTTGTGTAAAATGCTTAGTGGCAGTTTCCTCAGAGCACTTAAGATTATTAAGGTGACAACAGAAAACAGTTATAGCCTTGGCTTTTTTGATTTGCTTTGCCAAACCATTCAGCAAAAATATCAATGTCAAGATGGTAGCAGTCATCTCCCATTACCCACTCTGCAGCCCCGAACCAATAACTCCCATGTTTACTGCGTGCAGGGACCAATTATTTTGAGCTATTATAAATTCTTTCAAAATTAAGGCTTTCCCTTTGTACATGAAAATGTTGACATAATACTTTTCAGCTTTCAGCATTACTGAACAACAACCAGAGTTCCCAGCAACACTGCATTGGACAGCCCTGCTTGTTGGAAGAAGGTGAAGAAGGAGCTTCCTGCCTGGGTACCTTGTGAAGGAAGTGACCATTGTGGGTGGAGGCATGCAGACAACATACCCGAAGTCCCACTACTTTCCTGTGCAGGGAAATCCTTCAGCTTGACTGGAGTCAGAGGAAACCTGGTCCCTGTCCCCAGACAAGGTCACACAGCAGTCTTGGGGATCAATTTTCCTGGATAAACCAGAGGTTTCCTCCCGGTGGACATTTCTGTGCTCTCTTTCTCTAGCAAGCAGCTTTGATTTAGGAAACTTTTTCTGCTGATTGGGTATCATCTGATTGTTACTGGAGTGCTGGGGTACTGGAGAGTTGGATGATGAAATGCCTGACCTGTGGCTGCCCAATCTCATGCTGCTTCCTCTCTGCAATAATGCTCCCACACAGACATCCATTTACTTATCTAACCACGGGCTAACTTTTTGTCTGTTTTTTTTCTGAGCTGTTGTGGGATTTGTTTCCAGTAGGCGTATTACTTGATTAATGACCTTTCTGTTAACACTTGCTCATATTCCATATGGGATCTTCTTGGGCTATCTAAAATGCACAAAATACTTAAAAGAATTTTTTTTCTCAGCTCATCTCTGTTTTTAATAACATAATTTATTTCTCCCTCCTCCAAAGAAAAAAGAGCATTTTCTAGCTTGCTCAAGCTCACGTTGAATGTTTCTTGTGATTCATGTTGTCACCTTGTGCAGTATTCCAAGAAAACAGAGCATGGACAGGCTCTGTCAGGAAGGGTTTTGTAATCTATTTGTCATTTCTTTTCTGTATAGATTAAGGGCTAAATTTTGTGATGGCAGATGAATTTGTAGACCCTATCTCTTTGAAATCACGCCAGCTATTCAAAAGAGAGAAGCTGCTTTTCTTTCAACCCATGATAGTAGTGCTTTCCTGGATGCAAGTTGAAAAATATTTACATAATTATAAATAAGCAGTGTGTAACTATAAATAAAGAACACGGGTAATAAAGTGTTATCATTGAAGTTGAAATTAAAATTGGATCCTGCCAAGCCCTAAACATAGATCATGACAGAAAAAATCCAATAAGGTTTTTTTGTTTGTTTGTTTGTAGGTGCTGTAATTATAGACTAGATAAAGGAAAGAAAAGATTATCCAGCAGACATAATTTGTAATGATTACAGTAACATTTCTGATGCAATGCCATGAAAAGAATGACTACTTGTGCATGGCATCTACATGTGCATCTACATCCCTCCTCAGGGAGGTGCCCTCTGCAGCATTTACCTCATAACCCGAAACATGTCACAGGCTGTATGACCATGGGCTGTGTGACCACAGCCTGTATGACCACGGGCCTGTTTCCAAAGAATATGCTGTGGTGTGCACTGGGTGACTCCTGCTAGGATTGTCTCTGAACCTGACCCCATGCAGCTAGATCCCCCCACCCAGGGGACCCCCTGTTGTATGGTAAATTAAGAAGCCCTGGAGCAGAGGGATATGTTGACTGTCTCTAAATGCAAGACGTTCATCTTGAATTAAGCTACTTCTTTATCACCAGGGTTTGGTCTGAGCACTGTGCCCTCCACTGGCAGAGCAGGAAAAGATTTGCCTCCATTGGGAACATGAACTGTTGTGAAAAAGTGCAGTTGGGCTCAGAAAAGCCCTGAGACATGTTCACGCAAAAACAGAAAGCATTTCGTTTTAGTTACCAAGAGTGAAATCTCTTGTTACCTTTCTGGAAACCAAGGCTTGAGGCCAAAAGCAATTTCTTGTACTTCAATAACTGAAAATAAAGCCTTAAAAAAGAACATGTCAGGGAATTAAATGAGAACCACAAATTTAGCAGGGCTAGTGATTGCCCTGGAGAATATTGAGGTGAAATGTATAGAAAAGAGGGGGTTAGAGACACAGTTAAGTGAATTACTAGTCCCATCTGTAACACCTGTCATAGTCCTGACTACTGGGTATTTACTTTCAAAGAAATCAGCTTGCACTACTGTTTGCTGAAGAGCCCTAAATCAGGTGTGCAGGCGCAATTACTAAAAATGAATCTGTCAGAGCAAATCTCAGGTAATCAAGGAGTCCTGTTTGGGCTCCCCTCCTGTACTCATCCTTGCCTTAGGGACAACCAAAACCAATGTTCCTCAAATCTGTTGGGAATGAGCAACACAGATACAAAGTAGACTTACTAAGAAGGTTAAAGAAACTTTAAGGTGTTTGCCACAAGCTAATAATGGCATCTGGGAGTCAGCCATCCACAGGGGCATGTCAAATGGTGTTTGTATCACCATGAAAAGACTCAGGATTATTTTAGTGCCAAACAGAAGACATAATCTGATGCAATTTTCAGAAGCACCATCAGACCCTGATAGACAACGTATGCCCACAGCTTCTCACACCTTCTTGCTGTAGCAGGTATATTCTGATGGGGTTTCAGTGCACAGTCCATGACAGATGATTTGAAAACTGAGTATTCCTGAGGAATGGGCATGAAACTCTTGTTTGATTCTCTGAACTCAGTCCATTGACTAGTGTCTCTGAGCAAAGATGTTTTTTTCATTAACTAGATCTCTGTTTAGTTGTGCTTTTCTTATTATAGATGAGATTCCCCCCAGCTTGTCCTTTGTCTTTAAGCTATGCAACTTTCTGTAGAAAATTATGCATGAATATATAAAAGGCTATGGACAATATCAAGAAATGAGTATGCTAACATTTCTGTTTCTCAGACACATTTTGGTTGAGTTTAGTTTTTGTTATGATGATTTTGGGTTTTTGTTTTAATAAAATTTTGCTCAAAGGACTGCTGTTGTCTGAGTTTCCACAGCATGTGCTTGCTTTAGTCCCTGCTCCACACAGCAAAGACACATGGAAGCTCATTGAGCAATGGCTCCTGATTAACTGCAGGCAAATGTTTCAGAGCTCTCCTGAAGGCATGAACTGTTTTTCAGAGCAATGGTTTTTGTGCTGTCCCTTCTATGAAACAGGCAGAAAAAAAAAGACAGGTGTTGCCTTCTCACAGCCTCTGTCAGAATTACTCTGAACACTTTTGCCCCCAAAGGATGTATTGCGCAGATGAAAATGCTAGCATGAAAGTTTATGTTTGACAAAGATTTTCAACATTTTTTTTAAAAGAAGATTTTTTTCTTTGTCTTCTCTCTTTGCATTCAAGATTGGGCAAAAGGGAAAAAATTAAATGCAGCTGTTATATTTAATGAAAAATAATTTACTTTTCTTGCTTTTAAAATAAAAATCCCATTTTCAACTTCCAATTATTTATCCAAATATTTTTATTCTCTTCTGTACTCTGGACAACTGATTTATATGAGGCAATACTGTATTTAACCTTACTAGCACTAAAAGCAATAAAATATAAAATGAATAGGTGAAAAGAGATAGCAAGTCCCAATTGCAGAATTACCTGGAATGTTCTGAATCATGGGAAGAAGTCAATGCAATAAAATTTACCTAATATTGATGAATGTCACAGTAATACACCTGAAGAGAAATAGCAACAATCAACACAAATATTTAGAACACATAAGTTGGTAAAATACCTTGGGATTGTAGTAGGTAACGAAGACTGTAAGAGCTTCCATTTTGAGGAGAGCAATCTCTATTCCAGGGTGTATAGAGTAAAGAGGGAACTGCCATGTGACAAAAAGAGAGTGATGAGTGCAGCATTTTGCACTCTGGATAAGGCTAGATCTGGAGAACAGCAAGCAATTTTAAGTCTCATTTTCTAAAAAGGACAATGAAAAGTGTCAGAGGATGGACAGCAGGAATGGCGAAGGGAACCGCAGGTGGGGGTGTGACAGAAAGCAATTCACAGGGGAGGAGGGAACCCCAGCTAGCACCGGGATGAGCACTAATGTGTGCTGTTACGATGGACCTTCCCTGCATCAGAGATGGTAAAAGGGTCTCAAATTAAAAGTGGAACAAACCCATTTAGATACAAGAGAAATTAATTCATAATAAGGGCTATTACACAGGCAATAGAATAAACTGTCTGATGAGCAACTGAATATGAGTCACCACTGGTAGAAGGTTTCTAAGGCGAGACTGGAAAACGTAGCAGTGGGATTATCATAGAAGAGGCCTCTCAGCATCATCTGAGCATGGCTGATCTAAAAGCTCCTCTGTTGTTGTTTTCATCTGCAATTCTGGGATCTCAGAGGGTGCAAAAAAAATGACTCTACACACAACAGAAGAGGTGATACAGACGGTTTATTAATTAAATCCATCTGCCAAATGTGATAAGCCTAGACTGTGACTGGGACAAAAGGTCCAGCCCTGCAAGCCTCATCCCAGCTGTCCCATCTGCTTTACAAGCATTTGCAAGTGCAGGTCCGGAAGCTGGAGGTGCTGCATTCAAAGTCATCCGCAGAGGTGTCTTTTACCACACGCATTTGCAAAGAAGGCTGGCACAGCTCCTGCCTATTTTAAATCGTTTGCTTCTGGAATTCGCAATGCTTGTACCAGTTAAATACTAAATTATCATAAATGTAATTTACATGTTTCCCAAATAAGGGAATGCAAGTGGAGAAGAGGGTTTCTGAATGTTCATATTTCCAAATTAAAGGGATGTAAATGAGCCTGCTGTTCAATTCAGTGTGTAATGTGTTATTTCACGGTTGTCTCCTTGATATTACAGGCCCCTTTTACATTAGGCAATGTCACATCCCACCCAAATCACCATGAGATAAAGATGTTCCCCTTTAATGTAATAAAGGACAATGACAATATTCTAACAGAGAAAATAGCATGCGCACTGATTTGGTACAAATGCATCGTCTCCTGCTGGAAATACTCCACTGTGTCCCCTCCACCACAACATACAGTGCTGCGTAGCATCTTTCAACAAAAAACCCTTTGTGGTGAGGCTCCCATGGACACCTCATCCTTCCTTCAGCACCCCACACCATTCTGAGGAAGCAGCTGCTTCAGCTTCCCATGGAGCGATTTGCCTCCTGACAGCACAGGTGTGATGTGATGCTCAGGAGATCAGTCTGCTTCTTGCCAGAGGATTTCTGCTCTGCTGTTTTCCTCATGTTCTTATAGCCAAGCAGAGGGAAATTATAGGATGGCTCAAAATTCATTCATTCATTAGGTGTTGGTGACAGGTCTTCCCTCCCTCCCCAGTTATCTTTAAAGGAAAAGAGGTTGCATGGTTAAAGGCACAGTGGGAGGAGATTGATTTGTTAGACTTTAAGGAAATTATTTGTTAGACTTTAAGTCAATCATAGCTCAGTCTGGACAACCATAAAACATCTTTACTTCACACCAATAGGTGAAATTTATAGACCTGTTCACTGGCAAGTGAAATGCTCCCAGAGGTTGAAGGGAAATCTTGGAAGTTTCTTATTCATTTGAGGGGGGATGTGTTGCTCCTTGCTCTTCCCTCCCCAGGTTTACTTTACAGAAGACTGCCCCATAAATCTATTTCAGTGACAGCCTTTGGTGGTGTTTAAAAGCAGAGCGCACATCCTGAAAGCATAGTGGTTTAGGGATAGGCAGATCTCATGCCTTGCTGCTTGTGCTAAGGTAAAAGCCGCAAGGCTGTCTTTGCCTTTTTTTTTTTTCCATGGCCTCAAGGTTTTTTAGGTGGCTGAGGACAGCCCAGACAGCTGCTCTGACCACTTTCTCACCTCTCTGATCTTCTGGACCTCTTGGGGTGCCCACAGCACCAGGGCATCACAGCTGTTGCCTTGCTTGCTGCCAGTACGCCATGGCCACCTCTCTACAGGGGCCTGAATAAAAGTGGGAGAGTAGCCTCAGATGCCCTTTGCATTACAGTGACTGACTTCTTCCTGTTGTTTTCACTGTGCGTCAGGCGGAGATTTCTCCCTCTTGCTGTCCCCAGGAGCTTTTAAACTAAGCTGCTGAAGAAGTGTCTTGGTTTGGGGGAGCTAACCCTCTCCTGTGTCTCAGTGGGAACAGGCTCAGGACAAAACGAACCTGTTACTCTGGATCCCTTTCACTTCCTAGTATTTGCTTTAGCTGCACCAGTATAACTTTAGCCAAAACACAGCTCCTGCTGTGATTTTTTCCAGCTTCCTTTGACAATATCAACAGCTAAATGATGGGCCACAGCCTGCAGTTGACCAAACCAAATTCTGACCGAGTGACTCTGATGTAAATGCAGCTTCATGAACTTACATTTAGTCATCCAGATTCACAGCATTGTATCTGAAAACACTCATTGTCTTTAATATTGCAATTTTTCTCCACAGCCAAGTCCAAGGCAATGTGCTGAAAGTTAAAAACACTGACTGCTTATGTCTTACACTGAGCTCTGCCATGGGTTTCATGTTAACTTATGATATGTTGTCTTTCCTGTCTGAGAAGATGGCGCTAAGATGCTGACTTGAGGATTGGCAGGTTGGTAAAATAATTGTTATGGCTGTAAAACAGTGATATGACAAAACAAGCCTTTCCTAGGAATATATCTGTCGTAACTATTTCTGTGTGGCAGGCAAGTTTCTCTGGTCCAGAGGGAGATGTCCCATTTCATCAGAGAGAGTGCTCTACCTCAGCAGCAGAGGAGTAAATGAAAAACAACTTCTTAGTGCTCCGTGCAAGGCAACAGGGAGTTGGTAAGTGTTGTAATTCACAAAGGAGAAACAGGTGAAGAGCACGTGTTTTCCACAATGTCACTGGGATGGATGAAGGGGCAGGATATCCTCTTGCACAAGATGACAGGCCCAAACCAGACCCAAACCAAACCTGCATGAGCCAAAAGGGGGATACAGAGGTGCTGCTTCCATCTTCCAGCCAACTGCTCAGTTACAAATCCACAGAGCCCATCTCATCTCTGTCAGTGGGAATATCTCCCTCCACAAGAGCAAAATGACTCCAAGCAACACAGTAGTTAGGGCACATTTAAATGCAAGGCCTACTCTGGGCTTGAAGGCAAATCCCCCTCAGCTTGGATGTGCTTAACATATGGTGTGCTAGCGGTCTCCTGCTTTTTATTAGCATTTTTGAAAGGCTGGATTTGCTTCTATTTCAGAATGGAAAAACCCCGGATTTTTTTTAATGAACCCATATCTGGCTAGCCCTCATTCTGATCAGGATAACATACTTTAAGAGTTATTGATGAAGAGGCACTATATAAGAGGTATTATTTCTCGAGAATCCTGGAAGATTTAAGATTTACTCCATGTGCTTTAAAATTGTCATTCATTAGCAAATTCAAAACACCAAATATTTCAGACAGAACAAAGACAGTGCTCTTCAGCAAGTACTAATTTCAGAAGAAGTTTCAACTTCCAAGATTTATTATTTTAGCATAAGTCTCATTTGCAGTTATTTCATGCAGTTTTCTGCTTGAAAAAACTGTCTTAGCTTTAGGAGATAGTATATCTTGTCAGCTTTCATAATGCAAAAAAATTGTCAAAGGTATTACTTGGCTTAAATGCCTTGGAAGAGAATTTCTCCCCAAATAAGTTTTGCAAAACTGGGAACTGAAATTCAGAACGGAAATAATTTTGCAGCCTGAATTGCAATGGAGGTGAACGGTACAGGCTGGAACATAAAATCCTTATTTCTGCTATTGCAATGCTGGAAGGCAGACGTTATTCACCAGAAAAGACAAACATCATAAGCTCCAGCCAGTCAAAAAATCAAAAGGCTGGTTTATAAAAGGTGGTTTTCTTTCATAAACAGTACTGTAATGGCTAAGTTATTCGGTAGTGCCGACTGACTGAGGCTCTCAATCGCTGCATTCCCTATGGCAGCACGAAGGCCACAGGACAA